GTGTGGGCGTGAAACTGGGGAGGGCTCGGGGTCTGGTGAGGGGATTGGGGGAGATGTGAGGGGAAATTGGGGAAATTGGGGGTTTCGGGGTCATTTGGGGGGAGCTGTGAGGGGAAGGAGGGGGAATTGGGGCATCTCGGGGTTTTGAGGGGAGATCTGAGGGGAATTTGGGGCTTTCGGGATCACCTGAGGGGATTTGGGGGGGCCCACTGAGTCTCAGGGGGTGTTGAGGGGTCACCTGAGGGGATTTGGGGGATTTTTGGGGCTCCCTGGGGGTGTTTGGGAGGCCTGAGGTGGGTCACGAGTCCCTGGGGGAGTTTTGGGGGTATTTTGGGGGGTCTCTGGCGTCACCTGGGGTTATTTTGGGGGTCCCTGGGGGGATTCTTGGGGTGCTGAAGTGTTGGGGACGGGACAGAGGAATTTGGGGGAGGGTCCTTAGGAGGGCGAAGGGGGGGTTTGGGGGTTGTGGGGCAGAATTTGGGGGTCCCTGAGTCCCCCCCTTCTCCCCCAGGGACCCGTGAGGAGCTGCTGGAGCGACTCCAGGCCTACACCCTGCAGGTGAGACCCCCGAAAATGGGGGACCCCAAATTCAACCCCCATCCTCGTGTCCCCTTTCGGGGGCTGACCCGTTCTGGGGGGAATTAGTGTGATTTTAGGGGGAATTAGTGGGGTTTTGAGAAGTTTAGTGGGATTTTGAGGTAATTTAATGTGATTTTGGGGCATTGAATGTAATTTTGGGGGGCTTTAATGTGGTTTTGGGGGGTTTAATGTGATTCTGAAAAAGCTTAATGTGATTTTGGGAGACTTTAATGTGGTTTTGAAAGGGTTTAATGTGATTTTGGGGTGTTTAATGTGATTTTGGGAGAGTTTAATGTGGTTTTGAGGTGTTTAATGTGATTCTGAAAGGATTTAGAGTGATGTTGGGGGGATTTAATGTGATTTTGGGGTGCTTAATGTGGTTTTTTGATGGTTTAATGTTTTGGGGGCGTTTAATGTGATTTTGGGGGGGTTTAATGTGATTTTGGGGGGGGTTATGTGATTTTTGGGGGGTTTAATGTGATTTTGGGGGGGTTAATGTGATTTTGGGGGGTTTAATGTGGTTTCGGGGGGTTAATGTGGTTTTGGGGGGGTTTAATGTGATTTTGGGGGGGGTTAATGTGATTTTGGGGGGGTTTAATGTGATTTTGGGGGGTTTAATGTGATTTTGGGGGGTTTAATGTGGTTTTGGGGGGTTTAATGTGATTTTTGGGGGCGGTTAATGTGATTTGGGGGGTTTAATGTGGTTTTGGGAGGGTTTAATGTGTTTTTGGGGTGTGTTTAGTGTGTTTTTAATGGTCTTTATTTAATTTTTTGGGGATGGGAGGGGTCCTGCTGCCGCCACCTCTCAAAAGGGGGGTCCCCATGTCCCCTCTGAGCTGTGGGGGGCTCACGGGGACCCCCCCCAATTTGTGCCCCCCCCAGACTGGGATCGTGCTGAGCCGCCCTGCCCTGCGCCCCGAGGAGGGGGACAAGGCCCCGCCCCCCCAGGTGAGATTTGGGGGGGTCAGGAACCCCTCAGGGTCTGGTTTGGGGGGGACCCCCAGTTCATGGGGGTGGGGGGTTCGTGTGTCCTTTTGGGGGGTGGGGCTTAGGACCCCTCAGAGCTCCAAATTTTGGGGTGGGGGAGGTCAAGATCCTCCCCCAGCACCCAATTTTGGGGTGGAGAGGGGGGTTCAAACCCTCCAGATCACCCAAATTTGGGTCGGTTTGGGTGTTAAACTTCGGCCTGGGGGGGGGGGGGGGGGGCGC